CATTGTGTCTAAATATGAAATAAAAAGGAAGTAAGTACTTTTCCCATATCAGAGTAACAGAAAACAGTATGGTCCTTGCAGGAACATTTTGATACCAGTGCTATTTATACAATAAACTTATATAATAAATGTTCTATTATTGAGGATGTATTTCTATGCAGTAATCTACAGACATAAAAACTAGAGAAAGATCTTTTTCCTCATTTGCTTTCTAAAGAAATGAAACTACTTTTAATTTAAAAGAAAAATTAGGATTAGAGTAGCAAGTCAAGGAAATGTAAGGGAGAAGTTTGGTTCTCCTAAGGACCATGATTGTTTTGCATCTGTACAGCTTTAGATGTTTCACAGTTCTACCAAGTTTGGTATAAGTGTTTTTGACATGCATTTTCACATAGTGATTATAGGGAAAATGTGCTTGATTTTTGAATGCCTCAAAGGTGTTCTAAGCAGGTAGAAAAAGGTAAAATAAAAATGAAGGATAGATTAGAAAGGGGACTGACGAGTAATGAATGATGCAGAGAGGCAGATGTGGTGTGAAACATTATCAAGAGCCAAACTGAACAGAATTTAAAGTGTGAACTTTGATGTTTGGGACCTCTGCCTTTTTGGTACTGTGTCCAAACTGATAGGACAAAACCAAAGTCAGCAAAGACACATTATAGTTCCTGTCTTAAAGCTAGGGGAGTTTGGTGTATTTTTATACTAACTAGGCAGGTGCTTTGGAGGCTTTTCAGTATTTTTTTCTATGGTCTATTGTTGCTAAAACCTGACTTGTCAATTTATCAGTGGTTAATGAATTAGTAAGGACAGTGCTGATGGCTGGAGATGCTGACGAATTTTATTTTGGCAACTTTTATTCATTCCTTCTGTTTGATTCTTTCTCCTTTTCATGGTTTTTAAGATAATATCTCTGTGTTTATATTTAGTATAGATCCAACTTAAAGCAGACACTGACAACTGAAGAACCATGGGACCTTTTCTTTTATTTAGTAGTCCTCTTCAAAAACCCATTTCCACAGATAACATTTCCAAATTGACACTTAAGTTATTATGGAGGTCTTTGAAGGACTTCCCCAAAATAGGATGGGGAAACAAATGTAGCACAAGTGCAGCAAGTTTCCATTTAATTCCAGCTTTTAACTTACAGCTTTATAAAGAACTACACCATTTCTGCATATGTTAAAAATTCTTATAGCAGTATTTGATTAAACTAAAAAAAACAAAGCACATTTCTAGATTATGTAACGTGATTCTGGCAGAGAAATATATATAAGCACATTATCTTTTAAGAATAATAATTCTATATATAGACTTACATGTATTGAAAGTATGTTGGAATCCTTTTTTGTGTAGGTGATGGAGTTAAGGAGCTGCACCAGTCCTACATGGATCATTGCTTACACAGAAAGTTGCAACATAACAGGTTGTCATGTTGCTGCACAAGCTTTAGGAAGTTATTTTAGAGTTATTAATTACATGGATCATTGCTTACACAGAAAGTTGCAACATAACAGGTTGTCATGTTGCTGCACAAGCTTTAGGAAGTTATTTTAGAGTTATTAATTAATTAGTTATTAATTAGTTATTAATTAGTTTTGCTCTTGTCAGCACAAACAGAGGATGTCAGCAATCCTTACAATACCCTTAAACTGATATTCCTAGCTAGGAGAAATGCAGCATCTAATAGTTGAGTGGTAGTAAAACAGCATTATTGTCAGTTTTTAAAACTTAACTTCGTGACATATCATCCCAAATCATCCCAATCTAAAACGCTCAAAGTGTCTCCAGAACAAGTATCCTTGAAATGTTGTGTCTAATTTTGTTTCTAATTTTCTCTTCATACATTTTTTGAAGCAAAGGAAAAAAAAAACCCATAAAGCATTATGGTACCTGTTCATGCTGTACCTCCATTTTTTTCTCAGGAATTGGTTCATTACAATGGCCAAGCTGTTTTTAAGTCATTATGAACTCTTGAGGCACTTAGTGGGAGAAATTGCAAATGTTAAAGTGTAAGAAACCATTGAGTAAATCCCTCACATGGAAATCATTCTGGAAAGATGAATTAGAAACTCTGAACACAAGAAGAACATCCTCACTTCATGCTCTTTTTTCTCACTGAGCTCATACAACCTCTTTTTCAGCTTTTAATTGGATTTCATAGTGTTGTCCATTATCAGGTGAAAGTTCCCAGCTAGTCTGCTACCCTCTAGGTCTGTATCCCAGCTGTATTCAGCTTCCCCTGGATCCTGGAAGATTTCCTGTTTTCATTGTTCAGAAACCTTAAGGCGATATAAAATTTTTCTATTACATGTGTATGATTTCCTTTGGGATTTGAATTTTTGAATTTCTACAGAAATAAACATTTCATTTCTCCACGTCAACAACTCAGTTTGGGTTTCATGGGTTGTTTGGGGTCTGTTTTGTTTTGTTTTTTCATTTGTGTAGGCAACTTACATGGACTACAATCCTCTTAGTGAAGCTCTTAGGAAGGCTTTAGGTCAGAAGATTATGTAGCCTGATGATTCTGAAGCTGTTACAATATTTCTGGGCTATGTTGTAAAACTTCTGAGTGTAGTGAAAAGCTCTAATATATTGAATGGGATGAGAGGGCAGTATTCAAACCTTCCCCTTTTTCTATTTTGGTTGTGCAATGTCATTTTGTGAGGTTTTTTTACCATTCACAAGAGAGGGGAAAGGATTTTACATAGAGATAGGACATTGTAAACTTCAAGTTAAAAATCCATGACTAGATGGTAGGTGGTATGTTATGCTTGAGACCAAGTCTCCTGTGAAGCTCCTGATGATGTTCTGGAATGCCTCAGGTGGTTTCACTTGGGTGCTTATGACAAGGAAAGAAATGTGTGTGTGAGAGCCTTTCCAGATTGCTGTGCCTGAGTGCAGGGGGCTGTTGCAGTGCAGAGCAGGGGCTGTGTGCAGCAGGCTGCTGGGGGGGCTGCAGGGTGTCCTGCTCTCCTGCTGTGCAGCTGCCCTGCCTGTGGCTGTGTCTGTCTGCATCCTCCCTGGCCCTCACCTCAGCACCGTGAGCCTCTGGGGACCACAGCTGGAACGCCTTGTCCCATTGAAGTCAGCAGCAGTTTTGTTACTGACTCCAGTAATCTTGTCTTTGGTCAGAATACCTCTTTCCTTTCCATTTTGCTTCTCAAAATGCTCTTTTAACAATAAATAAGGTGCTGCATGTGTAACTGTGTTTAGTCCTTATCTACCCCATGTGTGTGTAGGGACACCTGTATACATACCCATGTGCACAGAGACTTCTTCTGTATTTGTATCTGATTTTAGGCAACTGTTTGAAAATGTAGATTCACATACTAATGTACCAAAAACCAGTGTTCTAAAGTGTCACCCTTAGTATATATCTACAAAAATGCAAAATAATGAGCATTTTAGACACTTTACTACTTTCAGCTCTGACCCTATTACCACTGGGCGGTTTGTTTGGCCTGTTTCCTTTGCTGATTAGTTTCAGCTCTCAATAAAAAGCCAGGAAGTCACATGGCATGACAGCTTTAAAAAGTTACAAGATACTATCAGTGTGTGTGATAATCCCCTTTCTTATACCCTTGACACTGTTCAGACATAGTCATAAATATGCTTGCTCCTTTACATTTACCTCCCCAGCTTTATTTTCATTCAAATGTCTATTCACAGCTGCATAATAAGTAGTTTGATTTGTACCTAATTGTAGTAATTGATTTTCATAATTTATTAAAGTCATTGTCAGAATTCATTTATGGTTCTGACTGTGAACAAACTTGCTGTGACAGCTTCAGGTAACTGCAGGAATAAAATAATTAACCAGATCACTTTAAAAAGGTCAATGACCAGTGCATTAACTGTTAATATTTCAGGAATTATTTGCACTTCTGTATTCATACTTTTGCAATTCTATTTCTTTCTCATGTATAGAATTCTGTTCTTGACATATTATAAGCTTTAATTATCTTGCTAGTGTGTTTTTATGGGAAATGACTAATTACAGAGAAATTAGGATGCCTGTCAGATTCAAAAATTGAATGTGTCCTAATTTATTCTCAGAGCTGCGAAATAATTGTGGGCTAGGGTGGAAAGGTATTATAGATGTAGGTATGCAAAGGAGCTTGCCAAGTGTCTATATATCATAAAATGTCTTAAATCTACAGACATAAAAGTGGGATGAAGACACAGCCATTAAAAAGGCAGTCATTTTTGAGTGTTGCATAATTTAGACACTCTAAGTTATTGAAGGGTCACAAGTTTATTGCACCTAATTTATTAATACAATCATTGGGATTCACGTATGTCTCCTGCTCTGCCCCAAAACAGGCTAAAATTCTGTTAAAATGCACAGACTCTGCTTCAGTAGTAAAAGTGTAAATGCTTCTCAAAATACAGTGACACGAAAAATAACAATTTTACTGTAACACTTGCAGGTAACAGGTGGTTGTATTTCTGTTTGTAATTGTGTTTTAAAGTAGGGCAGAGAAATCAAATAAAAACTAGGTGAATTTTGTTCCTGTGTATCTTTCCCATTACCACATTAGGTGATGTTTCTATGGGGAAAATAGCCTCTTGCTTTGGCCTCTAACAAGGACAAACAAAACGCTCTCCCCAAAACCAACCAAGTAAAAATTCTGACAAATACCTTGTTAAGTGCTTTTAAGCTTGGAAAAATAATTTTTCTTTGAAAAAAGGAAAAGTTTATAATTTTTTAAAAATCTTTTTATGTACTGAATTGGCTTTTCTTAGTTAGGAGGTTCTGTTTTGTTTATTTGCTAGCCAGGATCACTTTTGATGCATTTAAGCAGTTGACAAAATACTGCTGGGAAGAGCTGGAGACAAAAGAATCCACTTGATTGTAATACAGGTGGTGTTTTGACAAAACACTTTATGTGATATCTAAGACAATTATACACATGAAGAGATTTTTTTACTTTAAAATTCTTTAAAATAAAATAATTAAAAATTTCTCATCTTTTGTTATCTTTTTTTCCCCTAATCAGGACAGAATTTTACCCTAAGGCAGTTAGGAGTTTGTGAACCAGCAGCTCGTCGAGGACTGGCATTTTGTGCGGAAATGGGGCTCCCCCACAGAGGTTACTCTATCAGTGCAGGGTCAGATGCTGATACTGAAAATGAAGGAGTGATGTCTCCAGAGCATGCCATGAGACTTTGGGGCAGGGGGGTCAAATCAGGGCGCAGTTCCTGTCTGTCGAGCCGTTCCAACTCAGCCCTCACTCTGACTGATACCGAACACGAGAACAAGTCCGACAGTGAAAATGGTAAGTTCTTGTGCATATGCCCATGTATAAATGAATGTTTATTTGCTGTTTTGGCTGACACTCAGTAATTTTAAATCATTAAATGAATGGCCTTGAGTTATTTGCCTTCTCTTTTTTTTCACCTTCTCTGTTTTTTTTTTTTTTCTCTCCTCTTCCTGTAAAAGTCAATATTCAGTATCAGTCCTAACTAACACAACCTTTGGGTATGATGCTTTAGCTGTAATTTTGAAAGAGTTTAATCACAAAAAAAGATTAGTTCTGTATTATCTCAGGCCATGTCACCTGTTACCCTCTGGGGTACAGCTAAGTGGTGATAAAGTTTTTCTCCAGGCTAGCTTGCATTCAAAAGTTTCATTGTGAACTGTTCTTCAAGACATCTTGGAGAAGTTGCAGAATCTTGGAATGGATGAGTGAACTCAAAGAATAGCTTATTAACAGGGCTTATGTGATTAAAAAAGAAATTTGATTGTGCTTTAAACTTCTTAGCTGATGAGAGCAATTGGAATTGTGGTGAAGAGGGACATGTGGCCTTTGATGTGCCTGGGGGACTGGATTACTGTGCAATTAAAATCTGCAACAAAAATCTTAGCTTTGTAGGATGTGGGGTATGACCATTGTATGTTAAGTCTTAGAGTTTAAATGAAAATAGGTTAATGCAATTGACTGATTCATTTTTAAAGCTTTTCAAAGTGGTTTTTTTTACCTTCTCTTGAGGTTATGAACAGAATCTAATGTGGTGTTAAATGCTAACTGTACCAATCTTAACTTTTATTTGCAGAAGATTTTCAGCTTTGCTAGAATTAAAACAATTAATTCTTCTATTAATTTAATGACATTCTATGTGAAAAACCCAAAAGAGAAATAAAGAAAAATGAGTAACAATGAAAATTAGTGATGGCTATTGCCTGCATGTCTTCATGTCTTTTTATTAATTTATTAAACCTGTCTGCTCGGCTGTACAAAAATTAGAGCAATTTTATTGCTATCCTCCAGCAATGACTGTAACACACGGTGGGAAACAGCTATGTAGGTATGTATGTATGTATGTATGTATGGAAATGCTTAAAAACTTAATGCACTTTTATTTTAAACTACAAGCAGTGAAGTTTAGTCCTTCTTTAGTCTAGTGTTTATTATTTTACTTCAGCTTGAGAAAGCAAAACCAAAGCTGTAATTTGCTGTTATTCATACTTATTTTTCTGCTGGTGGCTGTTTCTACATGAAGATACCTGTGCAAAACCACTGTCTCAAATGGGACCTTCCTTTTGTGTTGGATATAATGCTACATGGTACCTGAGCAGCTCTCAGTGTTCACAGGTGTCTTGTGTCATGCTTGGAGAATTTGTTTTGAGTCCGAGGCAGGTTCTGAAAGAGGAAGACAGAAGTACTTGCCTACCACCTTTTGGCAGTGGAGTTTCTGTGTGATAAAGCTTGGTATTTCAGCTGCAGAGCAATCTAGAATAAGTTGTTGAGCAGTTCTGTGATTTTGAAAGGTCTGTGGTGAAACAAATTCTCTTGACCCTCTTGTAAAATTCTTGCTGATTGATCTTGAAAATATATTTTTATGTGCACATGCATGCACACGCTATTTCCATAGGAAGTCATATCTTTGCATTACAAAAGAGGTGACCGCTTCAGAGCTACCATAGGTTTGGTATACTTTTTAATATATTTTATACTTACAGTTTTTTGAAAAGGAAATTATCTGATTACAATGTGCCAAAACATCCTCCATCAGCTGAAAGTTAAGAGTGTTTTGTTTTCACATGTGTGAGAAGACTGTGAATGTGTTAAAAAATGCATTTTTCTGCAGTGATTAAAATTACGGAAGGAATGTCTGGTGTTTGATACAACTTCAGCGAAAAGTTTAGCCACTAAAAAGGATTACAGTTGATTTATTTATTAATAGGGAGGCCAGCAGTCCAATTTAAGAATGTACTGGGACTGCTGTGAAGCTAATGAAATTTTGATGGCTTGAGAGTTCCCTAGGGTTATGAAACATCTATAACTTGGACCATGTCATGGGTCGCTGTTTCAGTGGAGATGTTAAAAGGGTGAAAAGCTTAATCTTCTTTGGTATTTTTTCTCTGAATTTTTGTTTCCACTGATCATGGAAGACTTGGCTGAGAAATTGCTTTATACACGTCATTGGAACTCAGTACATTTAATGTTCACAATAGAATAGAAAATACAATTTAAAGCCAGGGAAACGGTATTGCCCTGGCAGGCACAGGTGCTCTAATCAAAGGGCTGAACTGCAGGTGCAAGTTTTGTTAATTTATGGCCTGAAGTTAACAGCTGTGCCAGTATCCTGTTGAAATCTGACAAATTTGATAAGGCATTGAAACCAAAGTGAGAGTTACAAGTCCTCTGTACTGCATCCCCCTCTGCTGTGTGGGAAAGATTCCTGACTGCATTTTGTTTAATTTAGTTTACAGGTAAATGCATTTCTATGCAGCATATTTGCCTCTAAGGCAAAAAAGGAGCAACTGGTGATGATAAGCAAAGCACAACACCATCAGATTGTACTTCCCTCACCTAAAGACCTCAGTGTTTCAGCAATCCCACTGTTCACCCATTGAAACTACTCACTGTTTAAATAGTCCATTGCAATCATCAGGCCTTATTGGAGTTAATGGGACTTGTCAAAATGATGAGAACTTTGACTCATCATACGGGTTTATGATCTCAGGATTAGCAATTTGCTGAACATACTTGGGGTTTTCTTTCTTGCCAATTAGGCAGGAAGAGCAGCTCAGCATCAAAATAGCATTTCCTTTCCTTCCTTGCAACTGTAATGTACTTGCTCTTTTGAAATAGTTGTTGATTGCATATCCCTCAGGAAGGCAAAACTTGTAATTCTGCTGCATAATTACAATAAGCAAGAAGAAATACTTTGTTGAAAATACTAACCTTTTATTTGTCAAAGACTTAATAGAATGTTTCTGAAATCCTACAAAAGTGACTTAAAGTTTTAAATAATCTTGGGAGGTTTAGAGATTTCTTTAAACAAATAACATTGCACATTATCAAGTTGGAAAGTTTTAAATATACTAAGAACATATTGTGACTGCCAGCAGACCTTAAAAAAAAACCAAAACAGAACACGTATCAAACATAGGATTAATAGATGTGGCCTCACATCAAAGGTTGTTTTAGGATATTTCTCAGTAAATAATTCTGAAAAGAAATATTTGACTTCGTTGAAGTTCCATGTATGACTCTTGGCATCATATTCTGAGAGATTTGTCATGTCAGCCTGCCTGAAGGAGGGCCTGCATCTGTTAATCTGGGCAACCAACCAGCGTCACGTACCGGGTGATGTATCAGTTGGAGCACACTGAGCATGCACATGCTTTTTCAGTTTTTCTTCTCTATTCTCATTGCAAGTTATTTCATAAATGCTGCATCAAGAAATTTATGTTGGTAATTGTTCTAGGAGCTGTTGCTTTGAAATACAAGCTGGCTGTCTCTTACAAGCTTGCCAGTAATTTTATGTTGTTAAGATGTTCTAAGATTACTAAAGCTTGTCTTTTAAACTGGATAAATATTCCAGGAGAGTATGAGATAGAAGTCGTAGTTAGGCTTCAAATGGCCCATTTGCTTAAAGGGTCAATATATTTTTAAGGTATCTTAGAATCCACTTCAATATTTAAATTATTTTTTAAACCCATTAAACTGCAATCCCTGACTTAATGAGACATCAGAAGGTTAATAAGCAAAACACGAAAGTTAATTCTAGAAGTGCAGCACCTTTTTTTTTGTTTTGTTTTAAATTTATTTATTTATTCCTCCCTATAAAATTATATAACTGGTTTTATTTGTGCTTTTTGTGTGCTGGCCTGAAAGTCAGGCATTGATTCTGACTGGAAAGTCACTCATATGAGACCAAAGTCTTTGGTCAAGTCCATGTCACCTTCTGCTCCTGTGGAAGCAGTAGTGATGGTGCTTCTGAAAAAGGGTGGGGCACCCCAGAGACATGCATGCCACGTAGCTGACTGCCACAAAAACTACCTGGGCACACAGAAAGTAGCTCTGATGGCATTAGAAGGTGGGCCTTTTTTTGTGTGTTTGTTTAGTGAAAGTTTTGCACTGATTGGTGTTTATTAGAAAACCAGAGGAGATCAGGATATAGAAAAATAAAAAGAATAAAGGGAAAGAGGGAGTCAAGTTCATGGCCTCAGGCAGTCATTCTGAATTGGTTAGATAAATGGTTTGAAACTTAGACCAATTTTTCATGGATACAGAAAAGTAGATATTGCTGGTAGATTGTTTATTGCTGAGGGCTCCTATAAGGAGAAAATATCACTTTATTAACTGCATGGGCACCTACTTGCTTCCTCTCCAACTCCAGACAGTTTCTGAAGATAGCATTCTTGTGAATCTAATACTGTCTTGTCCTTCCAGAATGATGAATTTACTGGCACTCAGATCTCTGAAACTCAAGAAATACATTGGTAAGATACTTGCCAAGATATTTTAATCTGTTGTCTCTAACCCAGTTCATCTATATGAATATAATTGAACTCTGCATTATTAAATAATGCACATAATTCAGGAAGTAGTGTCACATGCTTTCACCCATTTAACATCTTTCTTTATGCTAAGGCACAAAACTTTATTTAAATGGACCCTATTAAATAGTAGCTGCACCTGCTAGCCAAATGCTGAGCCTACTGATCAAAACCAGCCACATAGCTGGTGAATTAATCTTCATCTTACAGCTATACCACCAATTACAATTTCTTTACTTTTTCCCACAGATTTCCATCTAGCAATTGTCTGCTCCTCATTAAGCTTGCCAATATGCCTTAAATCTTGCTTTGCTGCCAAAAAATTTCATGACCAGGAAATCAATCTGTTTTATTTTTGACAGAAGTCAGCTCTGAAATAATATTTAATAGTTAGCAGGCGTACAAATTTTTCTTTGGTTACGGAGACATGTAGCAGAAATCCATAAACAAAAGTAATTTCTGGTTTTCTAAAAATATAGTTTTCTA